GTGATTCTTCGAACGTCCAGTTACATTTTGACCACTCAATCGATCAGTGGCTAGTTGCTGCATATTCACTCGGATATATGGATGAAAATTTTTATGAAAAAAGAAATTCTCAACGCCACAACTGATCTCATTTTGCATAAAGCAGCGCTGAACGACAGAATATACAATGAGAAATAAGAAATGAGCGTTTTTGTTGAAAAACAGAGAAATTTGCATTTCAGAGCTTTTGCAACTGTCTGATGCGGAAAAACTGCGTGAGCAGGAGCTGTCACTGCAAGGCGATGAATACTACGATGATAGCAGTAATCAGCGTTCACCAAATGCACCTTCGAAAACACCATCTGACGGTCTCTAAACGATATTATCAAGAAATTTTTGTTCTGTTAAATTATTTTTTTAGATCACTGAGTTGATAAAAGTTTCGGCTGATAAGCAACAACAAACCGAGTAATCGTGATCGTAATTCATTCCAAATAACCGCTTTTGTTTCCTATCGTTTCAGTTACGAATCTTGAACGTCTCGTTCAGTTTCATTTGATGTTGTTTCGGTTTTGTTGATTAAGCAAACATAAGAAAAAAGTCGTTGGTGATGGACGTTTGATCGAATTTAAGAAATTCTTCTAGAAAAGCAGCGTGCAGCTTCGGCCATTCCACGTCCAAGTATTTTGTCGTTCTCACCAGTACAATCGGAGCTGAGGTCACAGGAAGTTAGGGTTTTGTTCAATACTGCTCAGTAGTTACTTCGCTTCGTTACATCAATGCGAAATATTGCATGCTTTTCCTTCAGATCCTACGAAGAACATTTCACCTTGACATGTCCATTTACTTCTTCATCAATTACTTGGACGGAGATCATTCAATTCCTCGTCATATTTACAAAAACTTCAAATGAACTTTTAATGGCCCAAAAGTACGAATTCAATCGAACGAACTGAAAAATTCCTTCATTTTTGGAGTTCAGTATTCTTCAAGGAGGGATCGCAGTCTGAATTCTAAAATTTTCAGGAAGATATTCTATCCGGTACTTCAGGCTCCACATCAAACACTTTGTTTTTCACACCGTCCGACAACGTGCCAGTTCAATTCCCAACTTCTGATGATCAGAGCCGATCTCAAGTGGAAACGAAACCGACGTGAGGCTTTGCTGGATGTTTTGATGCTTGCAACGATCCTATTTCACAACATGCTGAATGTATTCCTGTCTCAAGTCTCTATAGATACAAGCATTATTTCTAACTCCCAAGTTCAACTCCAATAGGTTTCATGAAAGATGTCTGCGAGTGAATATCGCCTAATCTATGTAATCAAATGATCATTTATGTTCGTAAAAATGATCGATGAACCATGAAACTTTTCAGTCAGTTTATTAGGAGGCGTCATGGAGAGCTGAGAGATGTGGAATCATTCAGTCCGATTCGAAAGCGTTCAATCAGATTCACAAAGCGTGCAATGACCGACACTCAAGATTCTGTCGACATGGATTCAGGCAACGAATGGTAGGGTGTTTTTCGAGTATTTCGCACATCCTAACTTTGAAATGACTCCTCGTAGCAGCAGATCAATACAAATCCCACAAACAATCCTGTAATCTTTCTCAAGCGTAACGTATTAGATGAAAATGACAACGCATTACCATTAATTTTCTTAGCGACAAAATGCGATATTTCGATGCCGTTTTAGTACAATATTCGTCGCTGATGAGTTCTTCCGGGCAAATAAATAAATGTGCGAATGTGATCACATAGAATATAAACAGTCT